TAAACCGACAAATGTGTCAAAAATGTGTAGGCTCTCTTTCCAGCCTGTGCTCTTCAGTAGTGCGTCCAGTTCTTAATACCCCTTGTAATCTGTTAAAGTTTGGAGAAAAAAGTAAAAGATGATATTTATCAACTGAGGCAGAGATGGCTGCATTGATCCAGTTTGGCTCTCATTCCTGGGGTTATATCCTGGGATCTACCCCCCTCATTAACCCTCGCTACTACTCCCACCTCTTCTCCCTCCGATTCCTGGGTTCCCGGCGGGTCCAGAGCTTCCGATTTCTTGTCCAACAGCGCGATCTAGCGGTCAGCGCGAGCTCTGGAGTCGGAGGTCAAAGTCACAGCCTGGAAGTGAACAGTTGCGAGTTTTTGCAAAGTGTGTCATTGATCCATCTGATTCCCAGGACTGACAGAGGTAACAGGATAGAAGAACCAGTGGAAAAGTGACATAAACTTTTCTTGTGCCCATTAATTAACCGCCTATAGAAATGACTGCCCCATGGTTGCCGTGAGGTTCTGGTCAGGGGTAGAGGAGGGAAGAGGTGCTAGTTTAGATTACAGCAGGGCCCTCACCTTCTAAAAAAGCAAAAGTGGCCCCCTCCTGGGTTTGCTTGGGTTTGCTTGGGGTCAGCGTTCCTAGCGACCGGGGAGAGTGCTTCCCTTGATGTTCTTGCTGATGGGCCTTGTGGGGAGGGAGAGAGATAACCTGGTCTCAATGTGCCCTGATTGTTCGGCACCTGGGGCTGCGCGTGGGCTGTAGGAAGAGTGGGCTTTAAGGGTGCCACATGAAGAAAGCCCTCACAATCCCTTTGCCATAAGAATGTAAAGAGAGGAGGTCGTGCCACCAGCCCTATTTCTCGGGCAGAGAGGCAGTGACCAGCAAGAGCCAGAAACACTGCATCTGAATCCTCTCCCATAGGTCCCTGCATGCTAGGCAAGGAAAACACATGTAAAGATCACCTTGTATCTGCCTGTGCAGTGCCAAGCTCAGAGCAATTGATACAAAGACAAGAGGAGGCTTTGCCCTCAAAACTCTAAGTAATACATGGGGCACCTGAAGCAACTTCACATGCACCACTTAAATCTCTTTCAAGTGTTTTAACATTAAAAGCGAGAAGCAATAGGCAACTAGTCTCTCTGCCCTAGCAACGCTGAGGAATCCAGACACCAAAGCCATCCCTAAGGAAGGAAGAGGGGTGCAGGGCACTCCCTCTGCCTTCTTGACTGATTCTGATTCTTTTAAAAGGACCATTTCAGTGGCACCCACAGGCTTCCATCCAGGTCTTCTCACCTGAACAGAAACTACCTCTCCCATCAGAGTGTGAGCAACTGTGGCAGAAAACTGTAACTGCATCCTATTTGTCCTGCTAGGCAAGGTGGCCAGCTCACGTCTTCTGTGACCTCAAATGCTGTGGTGGCATGAAAAGCTATGAAGCTTTAAAAAACATTGCATCTAAATAAAACACCTTCTTAGGATAAACGATTTAGATTTCATGAAAGTCAGGTGCTGCTAGGAGTTGATCATTCAGTGAGCTCTGACTTCCTGGAGCAAAGGGTCAAAGACAAAAGGAAAGAAATTCAGTTACGAGTTAAGAAGGCAACCCTCTGCTATTTCTCCCTTCGTTTCTTTAAGATTCAATACTGCTCAAGTCAGACTTACCACTGCAGGGGACTTGGAATGTATTTACGTTGTAACTGTGAATGTAGCACAGGTCCAGAATATCTAGTCAGGCACTGCTCTGTGTCAGGAGTTGGTATGTGTACACTGACATACACTTTCAGGCTTGTGGAAAATGTGAAAACTCATAGGAATTCATTTTTCAAGATTTGATCTTGGTCTTCAAACTTACTACCTACGACTCTGCAGTGCAGTCATGATGAAATCATAGCCATAGGAACTATGAAAAGAGGTTTCATTGTTCTCCGTTGGAGCGCCTGTGTCAGATGAAGTGTAACCAGACCAAGGCTCCCTTGACAATGTGTTCTTATACACTCACTAGTTAATTCAGCGGCATTTATGGAGCACTGGCATCCAGGCATTCAAAGCAGACAAGATCCCAGACTTTGGAATGCTCCGAAATCCAGTGTGGAGTGCGCACTCTGGTGGGGAAGAGGGGAAGGATGGCCATTAATTGATCAGACTCATTGTGAAGTCATTTTTATCTTGAGGATTAATTCAGCAAATGCTATTACTCTAGTCTTGATGTTCCCTAAAAAAATTGGGGAGGGTTTTTTTTTAAGGCAAATCAAAAGAATCCCATCCCACTGTGTACAGTGACCAGAAGTAAACATAAGCAAAAGTCAAATGATTTGAGATGTGGAGACTGTGTAATTGAAAGCTGAAAGACCAATGTGAAAAATAACATGGGGGGAAATACATGGTAGAGAGAAACGCAGGAAGCAGTCATCTCAATCCACCATTCAGAACATTCCACAGGGAAAAAATCAATTTCTCCACACACCAATTTCACTATAAACCAATCTCTCCACAAACCAATTGAGGGGGAGGAGGGAGCGGAGATTGTTATAAAAATATATTTAGGAGAGATGACAACCAAATAACAATAACAACAACAATAATAGTTATCAGGAGCTCTGAAAGGTCTGAAATGTTATTCTACTTGCAAGCTAATAAGTTAACATGGTACAGCTTCATGAATGCTGGCAGATCACAAAAGGAACCAGAGACATAGGACTGCATGACTCACAGCAGTAGCAGTAGCCAGAGTACCATCATTTGTGCCGGTTCCCCAATTCCCACAGCGTGATGCAGAGAGCGCCCGGTGACCCTTGCATACACAGTGAGTTGCATGACAGGAATGGAATCTGAGCTTGGGGAGCCCAAGCCTTTTATAAGGACAGTTAGCCTGCTTGACTTTTGCCCTGAAAAGAAACATTCTCTTTGTTAGCGTGGGCAGTAAACAGACTTGCCCTTTGCTCCGGAGGGAGAAATTATCTCTGTCCTCCAAGGCTGCTAGTCTGCAGATCCCCTAGAAGAGGACATCTGGGACAAAAACAGTAAGTGTCTCTGCTCACAAGACGTGCAGAAACGTGAGAGATCTGTGGAAAAATGTCTCCCACCAGTAAGAGCTGTTGGGCGTTCGTGGGAGGGAGAAAGCCCCGTATGTGAAAGTGGTTCCCCAAGAATTTCCAGAGGAGGAAGACTCCTGAAGGACTAGGAGCGGGCATTCTAAGCCCAAGATTCAAAATGAGAAGTTGGGAAGTGTAGCAGAGGACAGGAAATGTCTTGGGCAATAAATAAAGCAGAGTTGTTTCAGCAGAAAGTTTGTGAACACAACTGGACTAGCTATGGAACCTGGAAGTGGCTGAGTTTCTGGAATTTCATCCTCTAAATATGATAATTTACAGAATGGATTCCAGACACTGCACATGGCATTTTACGTACAACAGCCCATGAAATTTAATTGTCTTGCTATAGATAAGGACTTGAGGCTCTGAGAAGTCAAGTGATTTGCTGGTAAGTTTGGAATCAGGACCCGAACTCAGAGCTCTCTGCCATCTAAGTCCATGGTCTTTTTACTCCATTAAAATAAATGCTTGTTGCCCTGGCTGGTGTTAAGTGGTTAGAGCATTGGCCCATGCACTGAAGGGTCAAGGGTTCAACTCCCTGTCAGGGGCACGTACTTGGGTTGAAGGTTCAATTCCCAGTCCCAACCAATTGTGTCTCTGGGACACGACAGCCTGCAAGCAAGGACACAGGGAGATTCTGTGCCAGAGTCCAGGTAGGGGACACAGAGGGTCCGATAACGGTGGCATGAAAGCAGGAAGATGACTGGCTTTAGAAAGGAAGGATGGGAAAATAGCTGAAGATGACTGAGCAAATTCATGACTGAGAGAATGATGACACCATGGGGAAAATGAGGGAAGTGGGCAGGCAAGCCAGTCTTAAGGGTATGTGACAAAATGGCTTTATTGCCTTATTATATGATCAAAATCCTAGGGGGGTGTTTTTTTCCTAATAAAGAAAATGTATTGGTAACTTCCTATTATATTAATAAAATTAAAATAGCATCTCAGATTGAAATACCGATTTTTTAAGAGAGAGAGAGAGATGTACTTTGGGGGGGGGGCGGGGGGTTGCAAACTAAAACACAACTGAAGAGTCACATTTGCACATTTGCCACCAGCAGTTATGCAAAGGGAAAATGACAGCATTGTTGTTGTTCCTTGGCCCTCCTGCAAGCTTGTTCTTGGGTGGCTGAGGACATAACACTGCATGTGATACAGAAAGCATCTGGGAAATGCTTAAACAATTTTCCCCGTCCTCCCCCTGTCTATCTGCTGCCTAAGTGTTGGACTCCTCAGGCTGAAAGTACATCAAGTCCTCACTCATTGTTTAAATTAGGAAAATCATTTCAACTCTCACACATGGTCTAGTTTTTTATTTTAAAAAAAGTATAAGTATAGTTTTATTTATCAAATGGCTTCTTATCTTTACTTTTTTTTCTTTTTTCTTGGTAGCGAGAGCTTGGAACAAAACCATGAACTGCCCCCATAATAAAAGGTTCTAATCTCTGTTAGGAACACGTGAGGCCGTGTTTACAGCAGGGAAGTAGTTAGAAAACCAAGCTTTTTCCCATGAAGTCTTGTGCCTTTGCTGCTTTTATTACAACCTAGGAGAATGAAGCTGCATGTCTGGTTTGGCATTTTTTAGCGTGGCCTGATGCTCTTTCAGATTTTCACACTGGAGCTAAGGTGGTCTCAGCTGATGAGTAACGGGCTTCCACAATATGGCCATGTGTCTGGTTTGGCATTTTTTAGCATGGCCTGATGCTCTTCCAGGTGGTCTCAGCTGATGAGTAACGGGCTTCCACAATATGGCCATTGTGTGGGCTCTGCGGTTGGCTCAGTGATATTCCTCCCACCTCTGCCCCCTGCAAGGCCACCAGGTGGCTTGAGGTGACCCTGGGAGGACTAAGCCAATGAGTCGTGCAAGCCCTGCCTACACAAAAGAATCGCTCAGGGAGACCGGAAAACATCTGTACTGGGGTCTGAGCACCACCCTTAGACCATTTAAATCTGATCCCGGGGTGGGGCCTGGATAATCCTGATGGCCAATGAGGGTTGACACAAACTCATCGAAGCCAAGCCCTCTTTGCTATCCATGAAGTCTGTGCTAAGGGTTGCTGGGAACTCAAAAGCCACTGGGAAGATTGAGAAGGATCGTCTAGAGCTGGAAGAAGGACTAACACCTTCAGGGCTGATCCTCAAGTCAATGGTCGAAATGGGTGTTTACATTTGGGTTCAGTCTTGCCAGCAGTAGTAAGGAAAATCATTATGAGGAAACCAGCAAACTGGGGGTACAGGGATCATCCAGGGTCCTGGAGCTGGTAAGTGGAAGAGCCCTGAGCCTTCAGGACTCCCATTTCTGGGTTTCAGCTGGAGGGAATCTGGTTCATTGTTGCCATTGGCCTTAAAGTTAAATCAGACAAAAGCATGGTACAGTTTTACTTGCCAAAGCACTCAAGATGCTATTTATTTCTTTTCTTACTAATGTTGATGCTAAAACATACATCCAAAAATGAGAAAAATATGCTTTGTTTCTTCTGATGAAAATATTGATGATACTTTTTCTACTGTATTTATATTTAACAGATTCATTGAATAATTTCAGACAAAGAAATAAAACTGTAAGATAGGTCTCATCTATTGAGGATAGGAATCATCAGAGTGATGGGACTAAAACAAATCTTAGAAATCCTGTAAACTGCTTCTACATTTTTCATTTATAAAACCTGAGAACCAGAGCTGTTAAGTAGATGTCATGTTTCTATCAGCAGTGCCAGGACTAGACTCCAGATACCCGCTGCCTGGTTGGTCTTCTGTCCACTATTCTGGGTATCCTATTCCTGGGCCTGTCATTAATTTTGCAAACCGTGTTAGGACTCATTGCCTCATTGTCTCAAGAAGGAAATTGGACAAAAGCAGTGGGAGGCTGCCACCTTTCACAATATATCTGGATCTTCCTTATTTTAAAATTAGAGCAAAACAAAACTGGCCACAAATAGGGGGTGACATATGCAACTACATGTACCTGGCCCACTTAGCACATAACAATACAGCTGACAGAGATGCTAATAAGGAGATGAGATGCCTCGAGACATTGATTCCTGCTCTGGAGAGAGTAAGATGGGGAGGCAGCCCCGCTACTTGCTGCAGGTACGAAAGCAGCACCAGAGCAGTGTTCTGAGTGCAGCTGAAAGGAAAGACCCAGCACAATGGACTCCTTCTCCCAGAGGCCACCTCTGGGAATCGGTGAGAACATTGCCACGGCCACGAAAGTGCTTACAACTGGCAACTGACTGCATCAGGCGTGCTCTGCTTTTAGCAACAGAGATCAGACATACAAGGGACTAAAACAGTCATGAAAGTCAGAGGTAGGTCATCTGTAGCTGATACAGTGGCTTTGCTCCATGGGGTCCTCAGACTCTCAAGTTCCCTCCATCTCATTACTCCACAGAGGCAGCCTCTATTTCAAGGTACCGCACGGTCCAAGTTGGTTGCTCCAGCTTAAGACATGACCTAAAAATGTCATCCAGAAGGAAAAAGCAGAGGACAAACAAAAAGATTGGGGCGGGGCGGGGGGGCAGGTCACATGGTGATCTTTGTCGTCTTCTGAGGAAGGTTCCCACAAGCTGCTCTTTGATGATTGTGATTATATCTCATTGGCCAGAATTTAGTCACATGGGCACATCTAGCTGCAAAGGTGGCATGACAGTGTAGTTTATTCTGGTCACCCATGTGCCCATCTAAAACGCCAATGCTCTATGATTCTGAGGAAGGAGAGAAGGGATGATGGAGGATGGCCAGCAGACTCTACCACTGACAGATAGCATTCCAGTGGACATCTGTGCTGGGCACTTGGTAGCTAAAAAGCAAGCCAAGCCCTATTCAAGGTGTCAAATAGTAACTGACATTAGACTTAACAAGACTTTAATTGAAACTTTGACTCATGCCATTCGGTCTGGAGAACTAGCTGCCAAGTACAAAGGAATCTCCTTTGCACGGACAGCTGTCTTCAGAAATTCCTTAGCTCCTCTTCACTCCTGGCCCTCACACTTAGCATAATTCTGAGATGGCTTTACTTGAAAGAAAAACCATCCAGTGAGCTAGACGGCTGATGGAAACAGCAGGTCCCCAGAGAACAATGGGGCCATGGAACCATCATCTGATGACATCATTGCAGAGACATGTGTTTTCCCTGGAGAGCCATTTACCCCATTAAAATTTCATTTCATCTCTCCTATCGTAGGGGGCATTGGAAGGATTACATGACATCTTTTTTATAAACAAACATTATGCTGGAACACAGAGAAGGCAAAACAAATGCAGTTATAAATAGAAAGGGGATATAGGAACATTTCCAGGAAAATGTAGGCGTTTTATAAATGACTATGACTGAACTTCTCTTGCAAAAAGATGCTTGTGCTTGTCTTAGAGACAGCAGAAAAGTCACAGAAGGATAACTATATCCCCTCAAAAATGAAGAAGGCTCCTTCTAGCATCTCAGGTTTCCTAGAACCCCACTTTGAGTTCATCAAAATGCAATTTGAGTGTTTTTTGACATATCACAGAACCTGAACGGCATGTCCCAGTCGCATCTAAAACCTCACAATTTTGTTCTCTGGGTCTAAGATGAACTGGAGTGGAAAGGGATTTATGAAAGTGGCACAGATTACCTGCCCTAAAGTGGGTAGGGTGTTTTAAAGCGGCAGGGAAAGAGATTAAATGAATCTGAAAGGGGACACCACTGACACAGTAGGTATAGAGTAAAAGTCAAAAGAAGACTTGACAGAAGAGAATTAAAGGGCAGAAACACAATTTAAAAATTGACCGAATGAAAAAGGACCTTCATGAAGTATGTATATTGCACTTCACAATATGTCTCAATGCAATGCCCACAACAATCATTTGACCCTGGTAGAGTTAATATTATTTCCTCAGCATCCCAGACAAAAAAATAAAATGCTGATGTGTAAACAGGAGGTTACATGACTTGCTTAAAGCTACATGGCTAGAAAGTGGCACCACTCGCTCTCAGATCCAGATCTACAGCTACAGCTGGCGGAGGAGTAACGGGCTTCTTGCTCAAGGCCCCTTCCCACCTGGTTGCTGGCCATTTGCTGTTCTCTCCCTCGGCAGGGCAGTCTGTTCCTCCTGTCTTATGCTCGTCCCTGGACTGGGACTGTCCATTCTCAGAGTGGCTCCCCCACCCGACTCTTAGCTAGACCTTTGCAAAATGGTCCTGATAAGCCTTGATAGAGTGACCCTATCAGATCAGCTTCCCGGGGCCTTTGAATTCTAACATAGTATTGGGGGCGGGGCATGGAATGACACTGCCAAGAAGGCATTTCAAGTATTGCTAACTAAAACAGTGGGTGAATTGTTTGGGGAGGAATGGGTCTTATTCAACATTTTTCTACTCTAGCATCCAAAATAAGCTAAACCTCTGAGCACCTATCCATTTATTTTTTTTACCTTAGTAATATCTGACAAGTACAAAAGCAAAAATCTAATACAAGTAGACTTTGATAGTCATTTTAAAAGCACTAATAAACTGAAAAAATGCATACACTGCTGGTAGAGTATAAATTAGTACAATTGCTTTGTAAAAGGTGAGCATTTTATTATTAGAGTCAAACCATACTTACCATACAACCCAGAATCCCACTCCTATATATTTATCCTGGAAAAATGAAGATATATGTTCATAGACCTGTAGATGAATGTTTATAGTAGCATTATCCATAATAGTCAAAAACTGAAAACAACTATAATGTCCATCAAATGGATAAATACTTTTAGACCATGCATATAAGAATAGGAAACTACTTAGACATAATACTACTTAGATATGAATAGGTAAAAACTATATGTGCAGCATGAATGGAATTCAGACTACTATGCTCCATGGGAAAAGGTAGACACAAAGGAATATACACCACATATGATTCCATTTATATGACAGTCTAGCACTGGCAAAGCTATAGAGACAGAAGTTAGAGCAGTGGTCTCCAGGGGCTAGGGATGGAGTAGGAGATTGCACGCAAAGGAGCAAATACTAGTAGAACTTGCGGGGTGATGGAAATGTCCTATATCATTATTGTGGTGTGGTTACAGGACTTTACACATTTGCCAAAATTCATCAAACTGTACAATTTTTTAAAATATATGTTTATTGATTTCAGAGAGGAAGGGAGAGAGCGATAGAAACATTAATGATGAGAGAGAATCATTGATCAGCTGCCTCCTGCACACCCCCTATTGGGGATCAAGCTTGCAACCCAGGCATGTGCCCTTGACCAGAATTGAACTCTAGACCCTCCAGTCCACAGGCTGACGCTCTATCCACTGAACCAAACCTGCTAGGGCCAAACTGTACAATTTTTAAAGTTAATTTCACTATATATGTGTTACTCCTCAGTAAATTTAACTTTAAAGTGTATTAAAGAAAAATGTGTTTGAGATTTTTTGAATCTCAAGTCTGAAAAAAAATGTTTAAAAAATAATTTATGCATCTTTGCTAGGATCTAGAAATACAGAGATGAAGGATATAGTCCCTGACTTCAAGGAGCTTATAGTGCAGCAGAGGAGAGAGGGGGAGACAAAGCCACTGCACTGAGGAATAAGTGCATTGGTGGAGATACGCACTGTGGGCTGGAGCCACAGTGGAGTGTCTAAATCCAGTTTCTGGGAAGGATGGACTCCCAGAGAGACACTTGAGCTGAGCCAAGATACTGGCAATCTTAGCCAGATAGGAGAGAAGGAAATCCTTACCTACGGAAGTGAAAAGGAGAGAGAGAGAGAGAGAGAGAGAGAGAGAGAGAGAGAGAGAGGAGGTTTTAATGGATCCACTCTAGTTTTGAAAATGAATCCTATAATGGATAGGAGAAATTTTAGACAATATGAGCCCTGGCCAGGTGGTTCAGTTGGTTGGAGTGTTGTCCCATATACCAAAAGGTTGCAGGTTCAATTCCTAGTCAGGACACACACCTAGCTCGGGAGTTCAATACCTGGTCAGGACCTGTACGGGAGGCAACCAATTGATGTTTCTTTCTCTCTCTTAAAATCAGTTTTTAATAAAAGCGTATCCTCAGGTGAGGATTAACAACAAAATTTAGACACTATGTCAGAAAATAAATGTCATGGAAGTGAGACATATTAAAATGTGAGTTGTTCTTTCTAAGCAAGTATAGATGACCTTGATAATTCAGAAAACTGAATTCATAAACAAACAGGACTGCTACATATAAGAACATGCATTCTTTGCTTTAGCATAGTGATCTATCAATTCTTCAGTGACTCAAAGATCAACACAGACTTTTGTGATCTGTTCCATTTCTAATATCTACTTCTTTAATACTTCATGTCCTATCTGTTTACTTCAATTTATTGATTTAATAGCTTGACTTCAACTTTCTTCTTCCTATTTTTTTCACCTTTTTAAAAAATATGAAACGCACAAACATCTGGTTGTCTGTCATACTGTATTATTGTGGGACATACAGATATTATTTAGCATAATGGGTTCCTTCATAGTACAAAAGTCTCTTCCCAAAGAGGCAACAGAAATAGTGCAATCTGATCATCTAACAAAAGCATTTATGTCGCCTCATAAAGCAGGTGCCTGCAAGTTACTCCATAATATTTCTACTTCTATTCCATTGGCCAGAACTTAGTCACATGGCCATACCTAGCTGGAAAGAATGATGAGAAATGCAGTCTTTATTCTAAGCAGCGAAGTGCCAGCTGCTAGAGATGAAAAGAATGGGTACTGTGGGATAATCAGGAGTCCCTGAATCAAAGATGAGATCCCCTATCCCTCAGAGTACTGGGGCCATAAAGATAAGGCATTTTCTAGTTAAAACATGAACTCTAGAACTTACTTATCAAAATTTTCTTCTGATTTAGAGCCATTTTTTAATTTCTTTTTTTTTTATCCAGTATAACCCTGGAGCATTGCAGATTATTTTACAAAGTACTAAAGTCAGTTCCTGGCAGAGTAAGCGCTAGATAAATATTGGCTTTTTGTCATGAAGCCATAAAACTTTATAGCAGCAAAAGAGATAGTAATTGAATCTAATCTTCGCCCCCTCTCCTGACCCCTCATGCAGATGTTCACTTATATATAGTCTTGGTAAGCTAGTTAAAAATAAGGAGGTGAATTTGGTACAATAATGCTATACAAAAGCAAATAGCATTTAATAATATGTAGAGTGTCCCCCCCCCAAAATGTATACACACACTGTGAATAATTATAAAAGCAGTGTATATTAAAATACATTTCATTTTCAAAATTGAGCTATCAGCGGTTAAAATGTGTATACATTTTGGAGGGAACAACTTGTATTTCTAAAATGGGGGAAATGTCTTTGGTAGAGGTGTGTTTTCTTTTTAAAATATTTTTTATTCCATTAAATTCTGTCTCTGAGGCCTTCCTTAAAGCTTCTAGGGCAGGTGGCTTGTCAAAGGTGCCTCGGGGGTTCTGCCTCTACTAACTGCAGTTTTTTGTGTGAATTCTTTCCTCGTTTGCAAAGGTTAATGTTTGTATTCCTGCACATGACAGTGCCAAAACTTTCCAAGTAAAAAGTTCTATTTGTATAGATGTTTATTTTCTAATTGTTGATCATTAATTTATTATAACCAGGCACATTTTTTAACAAATTGGCTCCATTCTTGGTAACAAAACAAAATTAGTTGCCTTTTCCGGTGTTTATCCAGTAGTCTCTCCCAAATTTGCACAGCAATATGTCAACAAGAATTACTTTCTTTTATAAATTCAGGTTTTTATAGCCAAGAATGTCACTAAAAACTGGGTGAGAAAATACTTTCTGTTCAGCTTTCTGTGCACCTTTTGCTGTGAACCACAGTTCAAGGATTACCATTTTGTTGTATATGTAGTGTTCTATTTTGGTAGATATATCCTGATGGCTAATTTTGCAAGACAAACCTGAGAAAACCTAGATAAGATTGTTGCTCTGTTATTTTATTTTATTAGAAAACATCCTGAGTAATTTCCATAGCATCAAAATACCCTGGGGCGGGGGGAGAGTAATAACTATATATTTCCATTAATTGCAATGTAATAACAAATAAATACTAGTGAGGACATTTCCATTGGATTTCATTTTTCTAGAAAATTAAATAGAAAACAGCATTGCAATTTACTTAGGAACAAACTGTTCTGAGAACTGAATTTATAATGAGGCCAAAGACTTAATCACCTTAATTATTATACAAAGGAAACAAATTTGCTTCCAAACAACCTTAAAAAGGAGTCAATCCAATAGAACTTGGACCACTTTAAGAAATGAATTTACCTTTTGGGCACTCTCAGCAAAAGTAAAATCTTTCAAGTGTTTCCTTATCCACTAATAGGTGTAAAGTGTTAGCAATGTTTATGACATCTTTGTCTCACAGCTGAGCATGGTCTAAAATCAATAACTCAGATTTTATTCCATCTCTTCTCCTTCCAAAGACCTCATTATCACAGGAAGTAGCTCCAAGGTCTCCTTCCAAGAATAATCCTTCTCTCATTCTCCTTTCCAAGTTGCTTATTCTTTCCAAGGTTAGATTGAGACCTGTGGGCAAACTGGAAGCCAAATAATTTCATGCCACCTGAAAACCATAATTTGTAAATATCTATTCAGCACACAATATCGGTGGTAGGAAGTTGATGACCTAATGAGAATGCTATGCTCTTCAGAAGAAGTGACACTGGATATAACATAGCACTTTAACTTACTTGGGAATGTTTCTTGAGTTGCAATTTTTTCATCCCTTCATTTATTAGCGATGAAAAAAAATGTAACCTACATCACCAGAAGTCAAATGCCATACACCTGTTGTATTATGTTTGCCAGGGCTTCCAAACAAAATATGGCAGACTGGATGACTTAAATGATGGAAATTTATTTTCTCACAGTTCTAATGGCTGGAAGTCCAAGATCAGAATGTTGAAGGTTTGGTTTCTTCTGAGGCCTCTCTCCTTGGCTTGCAGACGGCTGCCTTCCCACTATGTGTTCACATGGTTGTCTCTCTGTGTGTGACCTAAGTGGTGGTGTTCTCTGTATCCTAATTTCCTCTTCTTTTTTATTTCTTTCTTTTCTTATAGCCATTTTCAGGGACCTTAATGACTTCCATGTCTTTAACGCTTGTAACATGGCTTTACTATTGCCAGCTTTCTCTGAATTTCTGCAGAGAAATTCAGGTCAGCAGACTCACTGGCTGGCTTCCAATCTCCTCTTCTTATAAGGACACCAAGTATATTGGATTAGGGCCCACCCTATGGACCCCACTATAATTTAATTAACTCTGTAAGGCACTATTTCCAAAATTTGGTGACATTCTGAGGTACTGGGTGGGGGGATAGAGCTTCAACATATGAACTTGGGGAAGACATAATTCAGCCCATAACCACTGGCCATCCTGGAATGTTAAAAACAGACAGGGAAGAATCTTATTTCAACCCCTGACTTTTGGTTACCAAATTCTAAAAGTAACAATCTGACATAGCATTTCATACTTCACTTTTGGATTCCAAATCATTTCCTTCTACACAAGAAATTTGCAGAACAGAAGGAACAAAAGATTCATTCACTGATTTACTTCTACTTGCTAACAGTGTCCTGAGAAGGGGAAAAAACAGCAAAATAGTCCTTGCTTTTGTTAAGTGCTCATTCTCTGCTGAGCTTCCTTTGGGACTTTTGGAAGGTAACCTCTTGGGAGATACTCTAAAGCAGCAGTTCTCAACCTGTGGGTCACGACCCCTTTGGCGGTCGAACGACCCTTTCACAGGGGTCGCCTAAGACCATCCTGCATATCAGATATTTACATTATGATTCATAACAGTAGCAACATTACAGTTATGAAGTAGCAACGAAAATAATTTTATGGTTGGGTCACAACATGAGGAACTGTATTTAAAGGGCCAGAAGGTTGAGAACCACTGCTCTAAAGGCTTTTAAAAAATGCTTTTATCATTCATTCCTTGGAAGCAACATGATGTCATGTGCATCAGTTATGTTTGGGGCTCTAAACAACAGAAAATCTTACTAAGAGGAATTTAAACAGTAAGCACATTTATTATCTAGCAAGAAGTCTAGTGGCTAGCATTCCAAGTCAGTGAATTCAGCAGCAAAATGAAGATATAACTGGTGGTTTCCCATCTCTCCCCTCTGCAGAGTCAGGAGTTGGTTCTGTCCTCTCCTGGTTGCAAGGTGGATGCCAAGCATCAGCCCCTCACACAAGTGCACCCAGAGGTTGGAAGGGAAGCCTTCATCCTCCTGATTCTCTTCTCACCAAGGAGGAAAGCTTTGCCCAGATTGCCCTTATGCCTCTGGTCCTCAGGGCAGCAGAATATGTCATCCCAAAATGTGGCTGTAGGATTTCAGGACAAGCCGCCCCAAGATATGCTGCTTCCATGTACTGATGTTTGAGCTGCGTGCACATGAGAAACAACAAATGCAGGGAGAGGCTTTCTCTGAATACTGTACACCTTTTCTGTCTAAAGACAGATCCTCCAAAAGGAATTCAATTATCATAAATCTCATCTGGGAGTTTCATCATCAGGAAGATTGGCTCTTGTCACAGGAGAATAGACTAGAAGTCTTTTAGATACCATACCCAGATAAAACTCGTCACAAACTATCATACCTCCCATTTATTCTTCTAAGGGCCTGTTTATCTTTCTTAAAAATCATTTACTCTCCCTAAGAGTCCTAAATCTCCCCTCCCCTTTCCCTGTTAGTATGGTATTTTAAGCCTAAATTCTAAGCCACCTCAGGAAGCTAATAATTTCCCCCTGGGTATCTTCCATGTATACATAAGGTAAATATATTAATAAACTTATTTGTTTCTCTCTGTTATTCTGCCTTTTATTATAGAGATTTCAGACAAGAACTCAGAAGGGTAGAGGGAAAGTTATTTTTCCTCCCCTACAGTTCCAACTTCCCCTAAGCCATCCCCGGTAAAGGGAAATGACATTCATTCCCTTGCTTTTCACACAAATACACAGCAGAGATACACATGCTAGAGAGAAGTGCTTTTTAACTAGTTGCCGCACAAGGGCACCAGCCACTTCAGAAACAAATGGATTTTTTTTGCATTTTCCCAGAATTTTCATGAGAGAACTTGAATTTATTCGCATCATCCTTCCAATGTATTCTGTAATGTTCTAGTGCAGTGGTCGGCAAACTCATTAGTCAACAGAGCCAAATATCAACAGTACTTCTTTTTTTTGTTTTTTAAATATATTTTATTGATTTTTTACAGAGAGGAAGGGAGAGAGATAGAGAGTTAGAAACATCGATGACAGAGAAACATCGATCAGCTGCCTCCTGCACACTCTCCCCTGGGGATGTGCCCGCAACCAAGGTACATGCCCTTGACCGGAATCGAACCTGGGACCCTCCAGTCCGCAGGCTGACGCTCTATCCATTGAGCCAAACCGGTTAGGGCAACAGTACTTCTTAAAAATAGACTCGCCCAGGCCGAAAACCGACTTCTGCACATGGGCCACGAAGTTTCAATCGCACTGAACGCGCACCCACACGTGGTATTTTGTGGAAGAGCCACACTCAAGGGGCCAAAGAGCCGCATGTGGCTTGTGAGCCGCAGTTTGCCGACCATGGTTCTAGTGCCATATTTCAATTATCTATTCCTACATTAAAAAAAGTACCCCGCCCAGCTGGTATGGCTCAATTAGTTGAGCATCATCCCATGTACCAGGAGGTCACGGTTCAATTCCCAGTCAGGGCACAAGCCCCAGTTGCAGGCTCGATCCCTAGTAGGGAGTGTGCAGAAAGCAACCAATAGATGTTTCTCTCTCTTCTCTCTCTCTCTCTCTCTCTCTCTCTCTCTCTCTCTCTTTCTCTCTCTCCCTCTCCCTTCCTCTCTCTGAAATCAATAAAAACATATTTTTAAAAAATTACCCCTAAACATGGCTTAAAATAATAATAGTTATTTCTTTTGCTCCCTGATTTGGGCTGCATGAACTCAGCGGAGCAGTTCTCACTTGGAGTGTATGCAGTTGCCTCCAGGCAGTGGCTGGGACTAGGTCATCTTGGAGGCTGCTTCACTCAGATCTGGCACCTGGGCTGGAACCACTCACACATCTGCAGGCTAGAACAGCTGGGGCTCCTTGGACATTTCTCTCTCTTTCTCTCTAGGCGGTCTCCCCACTTGGTGACCTCAGGTGACTTTTTACATGGCAGCTGAAGCTTCATGCGCGAGTGTCCCACGAGCTACCTTGGTTCATCAAGGCAGCCATAAGACCTCCCAGGTTCAAGGGGAGGGAACACAAACTCCACCTCTTGATTGTAGAAGTGTCAAAGAATTGGTGGATATATTATTTTTACTTTTATCGTTGAAAGTATTACAGATGTCCCCTTTTGCTCACCATTGATGGTGGATATATTTTAAGCCACCACATATCCCTTAAAGGTTGGCCCTCCTGTCATCTACTCAGCTGGGCCACCCTTTATTTACCTGTGAGTCCACAGAGCTTGCTTTCAATAGTTGTCTGAACCTCCAGTCCCCCATCTCCCATCATTCTCCCTGCGGTTAATTCCCACTCTCATTCCACAGACCTCCTTCCCCAAGATTAACTATTTAGAGGGAGTGTTCATGGTCTTTGTGAAAAGGGACTAGGACTTTAGTTAACTCCTAGTTATTTTGATAAAGCCAAAATCAATGCAGCTAAGACAAAGACTCTCATAACCAATGTTTCAAACCAATAAACCTATGAACCTTATTTTCTCTCACACATTTGAGTCTCCAAAGAAGAAGGGAAATGCAGATATCCAACTAGCAATGGAGAAGGTTGTCCTACACCAACTTGGCCCAAAGCTACCAGGCTATTAGATATGTCCAATGGACAAGAGCAGAGAAACAAAAAGTAGGCAGGGCAGTGTGGAAGGAATGCCTATCTTGGTAGGCAATTCTGAGCTGCCTGTTCTTTTATCCCTCTTAAGGTAGAGGATTGATTTTTTATTGTTTTGTCCACATAGCAGAAAGGATGAGCATCTGGAATCCTCTTTCTCTCTCTCTCTCTCTCTCTCTCTCCCCCCGACCCTGAATCCACCCCCCCTTACTCCCCAATGCCTCTCCACTCAGTATCAATCAAACTGACCAAACTTCCTTTGAATAAAAAATTCAAATGAGAGCCTGGAGTAATGTGTATTCCTCAAAACAATTTCACACAAAAATAAATAAATAAATAAAGTTTCCAGACACAGTTTAACTATTTAGGAAGAAAGAGAACCTTATGCATTTTATACATATTGGTAGGAGGAAAGGAATTCAATGGTGCTCACTTTAGGACACAGAGTCCACTACGTGGAAATAAATTATTCAAGTTCCAAATATCTTTGATTCAGTTTTAATTTATATTAAATTTATTTTGTGTTCTTTTGTTTTGTTTTTGTTTTAAGCAGGAAATGTTGAGGGAGATTTAAAGAAGTTATCTTTGTAAGTACATTTGAGAATACAAACACAAGTTTTACAACTCGCTTTGTATAAAATAAAATAAAATAAAATAAAGTACAATAAAAATAAAATCTATGCTTATTCTGTATTTTGTCATCACAAAATTGAATTTCTATTTAACTCTGTGACTAAGGTAAGGAAAGAGTTTTCCAGTAATCGTCAAAAATTTGTCTAACTAGTTTTTACGACTTCTACTTGTAACCTTGATGTTATAAATATTTGTTTTTAGAAGCTGCATTTGCTGAAGTGTTGCAGGAAACTGTTCATGGTGAGTTGTAAACTCTGTTTTCCAAGGAAGGTTTATTTTATCCACCCATCTTGGACAACTGGTCCACTGACCTTTGACTTTGCCAATCTAGTTATCAATAACAAATCACTATGGTATAGGTTTTTTTTTCTTAAATTAGAAACATTGCTAAAAGCATTCCTACTTATAAAAATTGTATTCTACAAAATAACATTAACACCAATTTTAAGACACAATGTAGAATCTCGATTTGCCATAACCATGGTCTGGACCATTTTATCAGGTGAGCCCAGGTGAAATCCCCTGCCGCTTTGATTTTATGATATTCTGCCTAGTAGAGGGCAAACTCTGAATAAGAAGCATGTGTGGAAGATGACTGGATGGTCAATCTCAAGAGAAAAAGGTTTGTGAAAATCTTAAAAACATGATAGCAAAGGAAAAGAGATAATATAGGGAATTGTGAAATAAATGTCACAATCCGCCCTAGCTGGTTTGGCTCAGTGGATAGAGTGTCGGCCTGTGGACTAAAGGGTCCCAGTTTTGATTCTGGCCAAGGGCACATGCCCAGGTTGCGGGCTCCGTCCCCAGTGGGGGGCGTGCAGGAGACAGCCGGTCAATGATTCTCTCTCATCATTGATGTTTCTATCTCTCTCTCCCTCTCTCTTCCTCTCTGAAATCAATATTTTTTTAAAAATAAATAGATATGTCACAATCCTATTTTGTGACCATGTAACATTTACATCAATATTGAAGCTGTAAACAAAGGAAATCCATAAGTATCTCATGAAGACTCCCAGCACCACTCGTCAGATGGTGCTCCCCACTTTCAACACTGAGCACTGTAGTTACAATGAAGTTCAAGTGCACAGGGGTTAGGGTCATGCTATAAGATAACCGACCTAATGTCTTCACAAATTGACAAAAGAAAATGGAAGGAGGAGCATTGATTCAGCTTGTAAGAGCCTTGGTTATAACAAACAGATATAGTACCTGGTCTGTGGTAAGAGCCTGACTTGAAAAAAAAATACAAAACAGAGATGTTTGGGGGGGTTAGTTGAGGCAATTGAATATATGGCCAGTATATTGGGAAATAATGTGTTCATGCTACTATGTTACATTGGATAATGTGCTGAAGTATTTTGGAGTGAAATTTCATAAAGTCTATAATTCAAAATGGCTTAGTGAACAGAAACACACAGATAAAGCATATGTGCAAGATTATAACAATTTTCTGATACAGATGGTATCAGAAGCAACTGTTGATTACACTCTTTTTTCTAATTTTCCCTGACTTGAATTTCAAAATTAAAGTTTTTTAAAAATATTATTCCTGTCCCCAAATTTTAAGTATTCTTTAAATGAGAAGAAAGGCATGTTAAAGCTAGCTTAAGAAGGTGGGTCCTGTAACTTCAAAAAAGAGTTAGCAAGTACAGTACATTGCTCTTCAGATGTTAAGGCCATCATCATTAAAATAAAACTAGGAATTTTGGGGGTCCCCCTCAGATTTCTGTGCTGCACAGTGCTTGCCAATAGTGCCTCCCTCGTGTGCATCATGCTGAAAGGACAAGGTGTAGTTACCCTAAGAGCCAAACAAGTCCACCAAAAGGTGTTAGACTCTATGAGTTTCAGTGTTTCTTACTCCTAAACTAAACCAAACAAGTGGTCAGAATAAGCCTCTACTATGAAATAACAATGACTAACATTATAACAGTAATAAGAATGCCTAACACTTGTCAAGCACTCAGTGAGAGGCAATGATAGATTGGTAGGGACATTAAAAGTGATGCTTCAATCGTAATGACAGATAAGGCATGGTACACTTACGTGCTCATTATGAATAATAGTCTTTCCCTCAGTAGGTGTTATCGCCTATACATGTGATCAGTGTTATAGGAATTTAGAGGTGATAACTTCTGATTGGCTACAGCTGATATTTTAAATTTAAGTTTCCTGAAATAATTAATTTTATGGTAATAAGTGAATGTGAAATTTTCCTTCTCCCTACCCAATACTACCCCCTAGTGGTGCCTTGGCCCCTAACAGCATCTCTCAAATTCTCAAGGGGGTACAGAAAAAGAAATGGAAACACTCCATCAACAAATTGCTACTGAATCTGGGTTGATTTGTGAACATTGATTTCAAGTTGAGCCATTTTAAGTAAAGTCTTTATTTCCTTGTTTTTCCCTTCCAGGAAAACGCTACCCTACCATAACAGTATCACATCCTATGGGTCTAAGCCTTTTATCACAATGCACTGTGAAAAGGCAATGACCTGCCCTAACCGGTTTGGCTCAGTGGATAGAGCATTGGCCTGTGGACTGAGGGGTCCCAGGTTCGATTCTGGTCAAGGGTGTGTACCTTGGTTGCGGGCACATCCCCAGTAGGAGGTGTGCGGGAGGCAGCTGATAGATGTTTCTCTCTCATCGATGTTTCTAACTCTCTATCCCTCTCCCTTCCACTCTGTAAAAAATCAATGAAATATATTTTTTAAAAATTATTTTTTTTTAAAAAAGGCAATGACCTGAAAGATGAGGGAAAAGGAAAAGTAGACCTTCCCCTGGCTCATGGAAGGGCCAGTTCCTGTCCCCAGGCTGCCATTCCTTGTAGAGATGGAAAGGGAAGAAGGAAGTCACAATTCCCTGAATTTGAATCTAACTGAAACATGGTCCTAAAAACTTTGAAATCTTGATGCACGCATCAAATGCCAAAAATCCGTGTCATGTCGAAAGCAGAACTGTTTTCTGTTTTGCAAGAGGTGGCAACTTAGGTCCACCTTTGGGGACAAGCTCTTAACTTGTTCTGGGAAGCTCCTCACAAAAGGCCAAGTGACTATTCAAGGACAAAGCTGAGGCTCTAGAACAGCGATGTTCACCTGCTGTGCCATGGCACACTGCTGGGCCACAGGCACTTGTGAGACATGCAATACCAGACTATTTAGCCAGGGGCACTGACTCTTTTCCTTTAGATCAGCGGTTCTCAACCTGTGGGTTTCGACCCCTTTGGGGGTCGAACGACCCTTTCACAGGGGTTGCCTAAGACCATCGGAAAACACATATCTAATTACATATTGCTTTTGTGATTAATCACTATGCTTTAATTATGTTCAATTTGTCACAATGAAAATACATCTTGCATATCAGTTATTTACATTACGATTCATAAAAGTAGCAAAATTACAGTTATGAAGTAGCAACAAAAATAATTTTATGGTTGGGGGTCACCACAACATGAAGAACTGTATTAAAAGGTCACTGCATTAGGAAGGTTGAGAACCACTGCTTTAGATTGTCATGTAAAAAATGACAACAGCCAACACAACAATAGCCGCCCAGTGTGAATAAGTCAATATTATATCTATTTTTTTCAGATTGGCAAAAAATTTATATTTTTGGTATGCTGTAGAATTTTAGTAATTAGTTTGTGTGTGCAGTGAGGTGAAAAAGGTTGAAAATTGCTGCTCTAGAACCATGTGAAACGTTGAAAATGCAGCAGGCAGAGTTAAAGCTTTGAATACTTTTTTGTTCCATCAACAAAACAAAAATGTCATTTATTTTCTAAGCATGGGTTGGGACATTGTGTGCCTAAACACTATTGCTTCTTTTGTGGCACATGAGGTTCTTAAGGGAGACATGCTAGCAGAAGCCCAAAGCTGCAACAGCCATCTTCACCAAAATCTTAGCAAGACTCTCACTTCCAAAACTGCTGTCTCAAGGTCTTGCTGAGGGAGCAGAGCTGAGGATGTAACACTGAGAGCGGGGATTTTGTCTGTCTTATTTATGGATATACATACACCTCAGAGCCGAGAACCTTCCCAGGTTCATAGTAAGCATTTCAATGTTTGTTGAATGAATACATGAA